AGATAATATTTAAATCACAGATTATCTATTTGATGGAATATTATAAAGTCATTAAAAATAATTACAAAAGGCTACGTGCCATAAGGAAAGTGTTTATGATATAGTGCTAAGTTCAAAAAACAATACAAAATTGAATGTACTCAGATTACCAACTAAAAGAAAAAAACAGAATATGTACATGGAAATGTTTGGATAGTAGAATTATGGTGATTTTTTTCTCCTTTATTTTCCAAGCTTTCTGTAAAATTGTCTCAGTGTACTGATATACACACACGCACACACCTCTATCTTCCTTCAGAAAGTTTGCCTAGCTACAATTTAAATGCAGTTCAGTAGTTGAGTGTCAACATATGAACCAGGCGGTCACAGTTCAATTCCCCATCAGGGCAAATGCCCATGTTGCTGGCTCCATTCCCAGTAGGGGGTGTGCAGCAGGCAGCCAATCAATGATTCTCTCTCATCATTGCTGTTTCTCTCTTTCTTTCTCTCTCTCTCTCTCTCTCTCTCTCTCTCTCTTCTCCTCTCCTCTCCTCTCCCTTCCTTTCTGAAATCAATAAAAATATATTTAAAAAATAATAAAAAGCAAAATAAGCAAAACCACCTTGTTCTCTTTTTCAAAGTTCCCATTCTTAAACCTCCACTTCCTTAATTCACTGAGATCACCTCAGAACAGCCCAAAAAAGGAAGAATGGGATAAACACTCCTATCTCATTCCCAGAAGCCAGTTTCATTTTACTGGCTATTTCAGAAGCCAAAGCCTTGTGTAGCCAAAATTTGAGCAAGGAGAGTGCACACAAAGCAATTCCACGCCCTCTTCTTAAACTTCTGTGGGTGAAAGCAAGTCACTGCAGGCAGGAGTTTGGACTTGGAAAGAGTGGACATTCCGCCACCTAAGAAAAGATGGTAAGAAAAGAAGAATTGGGACAGAGCCCCTATTTGTGTCTCTTCTTATAAGATTTTGTGCCCAATCTCCAACTACAGGAGAAAAGAACCCGAATCATTTCATTTTCACCACAAAGATCTTCTGAGTAATAAAGAATTGTCAGTTACCAATGTTGCCACCTGCAAACCCACTGAGAACCTATTACTGTCATCAGGAATCCCAGGCTAACATTCCCCAAGTCAAGGAAAGGGGGCATGCCAAAAAGAAAAAAGAAAGAAAGAAAAAGTATATATTTATATATGTGTGTGGGAGGTATAGTACATTTAAGGGCACATAGCTATCAAGTAATTTTTAAGGATTTACTAACACTGCCGACAGTAACAGGGAACTGCATCTGTTTCTGCTTGAGAAAAAAGCTTCAACAATATTCTGTTTCTGATTCTTGCATATATAGCCTTTAGATGTTTCAAGGGTGGCTATTTTCCTTTTTTGAGATGTAAGAGCCAGGGAGAGAGAATACATCACAGGCAACATCAGAGTCTGTGAAACCCATTTATTTTTCACTACAGTTGCATTTTCTGCTGTTGCTATACCAATACCTTCACAGGGACTCCACTGTCCCCCAGCCGTGACAATAGCACAGGTGGCCTTTCCTGGCTGAAGTGAACCAGTTTGGCGCCACTACAAGGTCTACCAGCAGAGTGGAGACTTCCACACTCAGGTAAGAATCAAAGGATGAGAGAACAAACAGAGGGACCCTGCTGCTTCCAAGCCAAAAGACTAAAAGAGAAAGAAAAAGGACACCATCACAGAAACACATGAGCACTAGAAAAAGGAATCATTCACAGGTGCCTGACAGGCTCCAGGGCTAAAACCTAAGCCTTGTTAAAGGTTATTCTTTCTCCACCTCTACTTTTTCAGATAAAGATTTTTACACAGAGACCGGAACTTACCATCACCCTAGGGAACAAAGGCTGTTGTCTTGAATCCAACCCAGGGTGTGAGTGAACAGATCTTGATGCTCAAGGGCAGTCACCCCAACGCTTTCCTGAAATTGCTTCACTGGTCAGATCCACAGCTGTTAGCAGCTTCAAATACCCATTACAAAACCCCCAGCCCCATCCTCAAATGGCATCTGTCACTCCCACCAATAGGAAAATAGCCTTCCCACATTACAGGCATTATTTCTCACTGCTTTAGTTTTCAAGTTTCCTGCGATATGGCAACCTAACTTAAGAATATTAATTTAAAAAAAGACACATTCCATTAAATGCAATCTCACTACAGTGGAATATGTGGATGGCCCCAGACTGAAGCCATCTTGAGGAGAAGTTGGGGGAGAGTCTCTATCATCACATATGCATTTGTCCCAATGCTTACCCTTAACCCAAATGTCTTAACCCTCACCACTCAAGTCTGCATCAGAGCAATATTTGCTTCCAAAGTTTTTTGTTGTTGTTGTTTTTTGAAAGCACTGGGCTTCTTCTATTATTCGTTTCTTCTCATCTTTCTCCTACTGCTTGATGGAATGTCCCCTAAATAAGACATCCCTAACTGTCCAGGCAGATAGAAAAGGGAAAATGAATACTGCCTGTCACCTTCAACTGGGGATCACATGACAGCTCAGGAGCTTAGTAAAATGCTTCATGCATGCAATTACATAACCTGGCCCAATGGGTCTGCTGACCCGCAAGTCTCCGAGTAGGCATTTCAGACCCATAAGAGGGCATTATAGCCCTGCTGCTACCTCTTGGTAAGTGGGGAACTAGAGGGAAAAGACATGCACATGTGCTGTCTGACCTTCCTTCTCTGCCTACAAGCAGCTCTGCTAAAGTCATTCTCCCCAGTTCACTTGTTTGGGTAAGGAAATGAGTAAAATCATGCGACTCTGTAATTTTTAAAAAAGACATTGTAATTCTCTGACCCCACAAACAGGTACCAGTAGTTACCTGGTTGTCAAAAGAGCTAAGGATATGGAAAAAGAGCGCAAGGAAAGATTTAAAACATAAGGCAAGTTTTCATCTGGGGGATGGAAAAGCATGAAGAAAGTGAAACAATGCTTAGTGGCAATAAACCTAAAGTAAGTTCTTACTTTTAAGAAGCCAAGTGACTTACTAACTTTGGAAGTTGCATATGTGTGTACCGAGGGAGAGGATAGCTATAGGAATTGCTGCCCCAGCAACAGCAAAGCAGGAAATCCCCTGCCAGGAGGTGCACCATTACATAAGAGCACACGTTCAATCACCACGAGATGGAGACCAAGCAGGAAACCAGACAAAATGTTAAGGTCTCTTCATCTGCCAGCCTGCATCAATAACATCTTTTGTTTTTGTTTTGTTAATAACATCTTATTCTACCTTTCTTCCTCTTCTTTCTGTCAGCCCAAACTCAGGGCTCTGAGAAGGCACACCTCAGCAAATAAGTTGAACTCTGCCATTTGACAGTGAGTTTGCTCTCAGGGTTTAAACACTGCAGAGCAGAGGTCCGGGCAGGCCCGATTCTGAGCACCCGGTTCCTGTTCCAGTCTAGCTGTAGGTGATGACTTGTATCACATGCCATATCTACTACAGTATCCAAAAAGTCGCAGTGTGTACAGGGAAGTCCTACCTATCAGGCCTCTAGTTAATTCATTGGGCACAAGTTCCTTTAGCAGCAAATGGCCACCAATGAAAATTAACAACATAAACAAAAATGACTTAAAGAGTGTGAACTCCATGAGGGTTCTGTCTTATTTATTCCAGTATCCCCAAAACCTAGCACAGTGCCTAACATACATTCTGTACCACATAAATACCTGTGAGTACTGAATGGAAGGATAAACAAACAAATGAATGTTGTGCAAACATACCTTGGAGAAAAAGTTAAAGTGCTCAGGATTTGAAAAGTAGCCTGAAGAAGTAGTGCTGTTGAAAAGACTCCAGAATGACTCTGGTTTTACCAGAAAGTAAGCAAACTAGAAACTAACAGTAAAATCCAGTAGGTTACAGTGTGGGCTCCACCACAAGCTATCTTTGTGACCTTGGGCAAGTTATTTGTTTAGCTTTGGTCTCAACTGGAAAAAAAAAGGGGGGGGGAGGAATAATACCAATACCTACCAAAAAAGTTTGTTGTTTATTTAAAGGAGATCAAGAAAGTAAAGTTCTTGGCACAAGGCTCGATACATACTAAGTCCTCAAGAACTTTCCCTATTACTGCTATTATTGTTGCTTTATTGAATACTTCCTTTACTGAGGGGGAAGTGGAGCGCCCCTCCCAAACTCTGAAAATTTTCACTTCTGGTTGAATATGCCTCTAGCCAAAAATGCAAAGCCCATACATTCAGAACTGAATGCCAGGCACATGTCTCTACTAGCCTCCACTAGATGGTGAGAATTTAGGTGTGGAATTCCCAAACCAGAAAGGGTGTGTGTACACATCATTCATACATACATTTCAAACCAGAGGAATGAAGAGAGCAAGAAATGAATTAGCCACTGTGAAAGGTGGAAAGACCCACTTTCCCACCTCCGTAGATCTAGAAAGGGAGTCAATACCTGCAGTTAAATTGAACTGAGGAGGAGTTTTATTGCACCTCTGTACAAAGCACACACAAGCCCAGTTACCAAGAGCAACAAAGCCCAACGAGTCGCCTGCCAGAGAGAACATTCTGTGGGAACAGCAGCATTAGGCCTCTTTGCCAGAACATGAACTTCCCTGGAACCGGCCAGGGACCTGGTTGTGACGCCTCTTTTCTCCCGGGTCTTACGGTCCCCAAAACCACCTCCCCCTCCTCATCTCCTTACAGGTAACTTTTTTCCACTTTCAGCAACCTCACAGCCACAACCCTACCGGAGGGTCAGACCTACACGAATAAAATAAAATAAAAAAGAAAGTCTACATCTATAAACAGGAAACGGTTTCGGTGAGTCTCAACCGGGATAATAAGAGAAGTTTTTGAGATTAAAGACCAGAAGGGGCGCCGGGGCTGCAGAAAAGTCCCGGGCTCACACGAACTCCCCGGTTCGCTCAGGAAATCCACGGTCGCTAAGCAAACCCTGCCCCCGTGCGAGACGCGCAGCTGGAGTCGGCCGGCGGGGAAAATAATAATAGTAATAAAAGAAAGAGGGCCTCAGCCTACCTCCTTTCCAGCGATGCGCCCACGGCGGTCTCCACCCTGAACTCCCCGGCAGCGAGCGTGACCCCGCACGCCGGGCGAGGCCAGGCCGGCGTGCCCCGACCCCCGCCACTCAGCTCCCGGCTGCAAAACGGCCGACTGGTCCTCCCCGAGGCCTCGGCACAGCTTCCCCGGCCCGGCCGGCCGGCCCACGCCGGTGACAGCGAGACAGCACAGAGCAGCTGACGCCGGCGACCGGCCGAGGTATCCCCAGCGTCCGCTCTGACGTTGCGCGCCCACCCCGAGCCCCTTGAAAGCAGC